GGAGGAGGGAGAAGAGGAGGGGGAGGAGGGGGAACAGGCCGATGAGGAAGAGGAGGAGGAGGAGGAGAAGGAGGAGGAGGAAGGAGGAGGGCGAGCAGAAAGGCCAGAGGCCTCTTGGATGCCTCTCGGAGTATCTTCGGATTTCTTTCCAGAGCTTCTTGGGATCCTTTTCGGGGCGTCTTGGGGTTCTCTTGGCAGTCCTGGCGGCCTCTTGAGGCGTCTTGGGTGCCTCCGGGGGCCTCTTGGATCCTTCTGGGGATCTCTTGGTAGCCTCTTGGGGGCATCCTGGGGCATCGTAGTGGCCTCTTGGGGCCTCCTGGGCACCTCTTGGGGCCGTCTTGGGGCATCCTTGGGGGCCTAGGGGGACATCTTGCAAGGAGGGGGGCTCCTCACTCAGGGACCCTCCCAGGAGGCTCAAATGTGGTCAATGTAGCGTGCCGCGCTGGCTGCCCGCGTAAGCCGTGGCGTGGGGTTGCAATGTCTCCTCGCGTAGGATCCGCTTGTTTTTGTCGCTCATTTGTGCTCTGACCAGGGTCGCCTTGCGAATGTGCGTTCGTAGGAAGGCGGCGCGGGCCTCCCCCCTTGCCCACGATTCTCCATGGGATCATCTCGACTAGGCCCCCACGTGAGCTCCACAATGCTCCTGCCCTGATCCAGGACGCCACGCTGGCAATCCTGGTTTACATGGCTTGTCCCTCGGACGCACACTTCTCCAGCGGGCACGCCTGGCCGAAGCTGGGCAACGGTGCCCGGCTCGAAAAAGGTTAGCACCCCAGGATCTCAGGGAGGTCCACCTCCTGCCAGGGCTCATTTCGATTCCTCCGATTCGATTCGATTCCGATGGATTCCGATTCCGATTCGATTCGACATCGGATTCCGATATTGAATCCGGTTTCTCAATGGAGGCCTACTAGCCTGCCGATGTCTACCGATTCGACCTTTCCCGATTCGGCTGCCGACTTCCGCCGGTCCGATTTCTTTCGATCGCCGATTCGACTTATCGATTCGATTCTGGGCTCTCCTGCCTGCGTGCAGCGGGCGGCCAATCATGCCATGCGCGGAGGAGGAGGAGGAGGCAAGGGAGGAAGAGGAGACGGAGGAGGAGGCGGAGGCGGAGGAGGAGGAGGCGGAGGCAGAGGAGGAGGCGGAGACGGAGGAGGAGGCGGAGGAGGAGGAGGAGGAGGAGGCGGAGGCGGAGGCGGAGGAGGGCGGAGGAGGAGGAGGAGGAGGCGGACGCGGAGGCGGAGGAGGGCGGAGGAGGTGGAGGAGGAGGAGGAGGAGGAGGAGTCCTCACCCCTGGCAGGCTTGGGTCGGTGTCTCCCGCGCGCGCACGACCACCCACGGCGGCCCCGCGCCGCGCCGACGCGGCGCGGGGCCGCCGCGGGTGGGTCGTACGCGCACGGGAAGCGGCAGGTGCAGTGGAGGCCCATGCCAAGAAGTAGCTTGCAGGGCTCGGTTCGATTCCTCCGATTCGATTCGATTCGGCTCGATCTCGACGGATTCCGATTCCGATCCGCTTCGGCTTCAGACCCCGCTGTGGACTCCGATTTCTCAGCGGGGCCTTACTGCTCCGGCGATTTCAGCCGATTCGACTCCTCCCGACTTGGCTGCCGATGTCCGCCGATTCGATAAAGTTCGATCGCCGATTCGACTTATCGATTGGATTCTGGGCTCTCCTGCCCTGCTTGCCTCCCGGGTGCCCTGGGTTTCTTGGGCTTCGATGGTTCTGCGATGGAGATGGTGGCGTTCCCACACACCGAAGATCGAGGGACGCCCAGGGGTCTCATTGTCTGGTTCCTTGTGGAGGGTTTCGTGTGGTCGAGCTCCTACCGTATCGAACCATTTTGCGCGAGCGGGCAGCCGCGACCGTTGAAGGATGAACGATCCGCGTGGTGTCGGAGACCAGCGCACCAGTCGTGTTGAAGGATGAACGATCCGCGTGGTGTCGGCTAGCGCGCCAGTCGTCGCGACACGAACCTGCCGAGTGGCTTTCGGGCCAGAGCTCGGGCCTGCAGCGGCCCTCTCGGACGATTCGGGCACCCCCGGAACGCTCTCGGCGAGGCGCACCTGCCGGCAAGCAGCCCGAGGCAAACATAGGTTTAATAATCGTCTAGCATGTTGGGGGGAATCTTGGAACACCACAACCCGCCGTGAGGCTGGCAAGTGGCTGCAGAGCCTCTCCATGTTTCCTTTCCCCCTCTGCGAAGCGATTTCGGTCAGACTCAGACATGCTTGTATCGAATGCACGTCGCTTCCACAGGGGCGACGCACACGCTAAAACATCTTGTGGCAATCAACGCCGTGGCGGGCGTGGTCAAGCCATGCCGTTGGGACTACACCATCGTCTAGTAGATGTGTGGACCACATGGGACTTTCCAAACAAGGGCCTCGCCTTCGAGGATGGAAGGAGCTGCCATCTCTTCCGCGGCGGAAGGGCGGCGGAAGGTCGGCGGAGGGTCGGCGGAAGGCGGCGGAAGTGAAACGAGGCGGCCTCTGCCGGCGGAAGCCGCCGGAAGGGCGGCAGGAGGTGGCGGCAGCAAGACGTGGTCCCCCCAAGAGATGACAACGCTCTTGGGCCCCGGGTCCCCGAAATCGCCCCCCAGGCGAGGGGCGGGCGCTGGCCTCCCAGGGGGTGACGCCACGTCCTTCTGCGCCCCGTGCTCTGGCTCAGGGCCGCTGGGGCCTCCATGGCCCCATGCCGCGCCGCCCCGCCCCTCGCCCCGAGACGGCCCCCATGGCGGAGGACATCGACGCGCTCCTGGACGAGCGGCCGGTGGGCATGGCCCCCTCCCGCAGCCTCGAGGACGTCCTGTCCGCACGCCGGCACGCGCCATTCTCAACTCCTCGTCCTCCTCCTCCTCCTCCTCCTCCATTCCTTTTCCTTGTAGGTAAGTTCTGCCTGTCGCACCCTGAGGCCAGATTTTAGGGCGGGCCCGGCGATTCGCCTAAGACTTCCTCACCACTGACGACCCTGAAGCTTAAACGTTGACAACAGCTTCACAGATGGAGGGCGGGTGGTTTTCAAAATGTGGCTGTCGCCTTAGCGCCGCGCACGTTCCTTTTCAACATATGTAAGAGTTTCACGGATTGAGGGCGGATGGTTTTCATCATGTGGCTCTCGCCTGAGCGCCGCGCACATTCGATTCCAACATTTGTAAGAGTTTCACGGATTGGGGGCGGGTGGTTTTCAACATGTGGCTCTCGCCTTAGCGCCGCGTACATTCGATTTCAACATTTGCAAGAGCTTCCTGGATTGAGGGCGCGTCGTTTTCAAAATATGGTTCTCGCCTTAGCCCCCCGTACATGAAGTTTCGCGGATTCCCATGATCGACGTGCCAAAAATGGTGTTGCGGAAGGACTCGCGATTATCAGGGCGCAATAGTCATGACAATTCGCGGTGTTGAAGTTCCAGGAAAAGCGTTCTGGTCCGATTCAGGATCGTCAGGACGCGACAGTCAGGTTAATCTGTGGCGTTGAAATGCCGAGAACAATGTTTTGGCATGCTTCAGGGTCTTCAATCGGTTGTTTTCTAACGAGGCAAGTCCTTCTGTGGAAATGAACCGTTGTAGGGGCCTATGAAGAGGGAGCTTGGGGGGAGGGCTTATTCCAACATCGTTTGTGACTCTTGGGTTTACACAGAATTCCTCCTCCTCCTCCTCCTCCATTCCTTTTCCTTATACATAATTTCTCTCTGTCGCACCCCGAGGCCAGTTTTTAGGGCGGGCCTGGCGTTTCGCCTGAGATTTCTCTTTACCGTATATGATTCTGAAGCTTGGAAAATGGCAACAGTTTCACAGATGGAGGGCGGGTGGTTATCAACATGTGGCTCTCGTCTTAGCGTCGCGCGCATTCGTTTTTGAACTTTGCAGGAGATTCACGACAACCCGTTTTCAAAATGCGGTTTTCGCCGAAACGCCGCGCGCATTCTTTTAAACAAATTGCAAGAGTGTCACGGATTGAGACGGTTCTTATTCAACTTGCGTTTCTCGTTTTAGCGCCGCGCACATTGTTTATAAGAGTTGTAAGATTCTCACGGATTCCCATGATCAACGTACCAGATATGGTGTTCTGGAATGATTCATGATTCTGCGGGTGCAACAGTTACGTTGGTTCGCGATGTTGAAGTCTCAAGAATGGCGTTCTGGCACGCTTCAGGATCGTCAAGACGCAACTGTCAGGTTGATCCGTGGCGTTGGAATCCCGAGAACAATCGTTTGGCATGCTGCAGGGTTTTCAAACGGTTGTCTTCCAACGAGGCAGTTCCCTCAATGGAAATGACCGTTGTAGGGGCCTATGAAGAGGGAGCTTGGAGGGAGGGTTTATTCCCACACCTCCTCCTCCTCCTCCTCTTCCTCCTCCTCCTCCTTCTCCTCCACCCTCGTGTCTCAGGGGCGCCGGGCCGAGATCTCTGACGATGTGCTTTGGTGACATTCGTGGCGTCTATCCTCGCTGTCGGCCTCCGTGGACCATCTTCGGGCCCCGTGGCCATGGAGAACGGGGCCGGGAAACCATCCAGACTATTCTTCTGGCCGTCTCCTGGAGCACAGGGAGGGAAGCAAGCTGAGCTCCCTGCTTGGTCGCCTCGTCGGCCAGCTGGCTACCACGAAACTCATCCTCCCCGACAGGCCTGCGCATTTCACTCTCAGCGAGGCGGCTGCTCATTTTCTTGAAAGCGATTTGACCAGGCCGATTTTCGAGCTCATGCCGAGAACGGGCCCAAGCAGCAGCGTGCACAGGCTGGGCCACTCCTGGGCCCCTCTCAATGGCCACAAGGAGGCACGAAGAATCAACAACGAAGGTCCCAGGGCCACAGGTGTGCTTTTACGCCTGGGTGAGGCCTTCGAGTTCGGCAAGCGGCGCGGTCTGGTGGCGCCCTGGGAGAGGCCCCCAGGCCTCGCCCAAGACAGCCCCTTCTCACGTGGTCATACGTGATCCCGAAGCTCAAACCACACCTACACCTCCGGAGCCGCGGGTCTTTTGTATGACCGCCGCCGCTGCCGTCTGCCCCTGCAAAAAGAATTGGGAGGGAGGGGGCGCCGCGCACCTTCACGTAAGGCACCTGAGGTCTCGAAGGCCCGCTCGGGCCACTGGTTGATGACGGCGTAGATCCAAATCATGGGCACGAGACCTCTGCTCCAAAAGCGCTGCCAGAACTTGGGGTAAACGCTGGAAGCAGGCTCTTCTTTCTGCCTCAAGACAGGGGCCTGTCCGCTGCTGATGTTGAAGTGTTTCAGCTGGCAGAGGCAGGCGTTGGGCTTCGCGACAGTGAGGACAGCCTTGCTTATCAGGCTTGTCGGGAAAACGGCGGGAGGCAGGACATAGAGCACTTGTTGCAATCCTTTCTAGCAGGGCAGCGTGTCCATAACTTTTCTTTCCACGAAACGTCTTGATCTTCCGATATGTGACGGTAAGATCTGCCCCGTATGCCACGCCTTTGCCGCAACAGTGAAGGGCAGCATGCTCTCTCCAAATATGCTGCTCCAGGGATCCTTCAACTTCTGCTGGGATGCATTGCTGCCGACCTGCGACAGATCCTGAGACAGCGTCCAAGTAGAAGAGGGCACGTTCAGGGGGGGGGCTCTTGGGGAACCAGATAGTCGGCATCTCCATATGGGGCCTCCCACCGCCAAGGGAGCTCTGGGTCCCAACCGTCCTGGATGAGGAGGGTGGTGACGACGGCAGCAACGGGTCCTCTTAGTTTGGCCCGCGGAGAGACCGCGCCCCGCATCGCCGCCACGCAGCGAATACATGCCCTGAAAGCGACCTTCTCCTGCATCAAGCGGGGCAAGACGTAGAGCCAAGCCATGGCCAAATCGTGGCGAGCGAAGACGAGGGGATCGCCTTTCTTGCCAGGGCCCAGGCGGAGTGCGACCGTGGCACATCCACCTGCTCGTTGTTTCCCACTCATAGCGGCCATCATGGACCGCAGCTGGAGCGCGGAGCCAACTGTAGGCCACTTCGTGTTCTTCGTCTTCCCAGAACACCACTCCCAGGCCCCATTTGGAATGCCCGGAGCCAACTGTAGGCCACTTCGTGTTCTTCGCGTTCCCAGAACACCATTCCCAGGCCACATGTTGAATGCCCCGAGCCAACTGTAGGCCACTTCGTGATCTTCGTGTCCCAGAACACCATTCCCAGGCCACATTTTGATTGCCCGGAGCCAACTGTGGGCCACTTCGTGATCTTCGTGTTCCCAGACCACCAGTCCTGTGCCATATTTTGAATGCCCGAGCTGACGCAGGCTGAGGCCGAGGCAGGCTGAGGCCGAGGCAGGCTGAGGCTGAGGCTGAGGCACGCCGAGGCAGTCTGAGGCTGAGGCTGAGGCAGGCTGAGGCTGAGGCAGGCTGAGGCTGATGCTGACGCAGGCTGAGGCCGAGGCAGGCTGAAGTTGAGGCTGAGGCAGGCTGAGGCTGAGGCAGGCTGAGACTGAGGCTGAGGCAGGCTGAGGCTGAGGCTGAGGCTGATGCAGGCTTAGGCTGAGAGGCTGACGCTGAGGCTGAGGCAGGCTGAGGCTGAGGCTGAGGCTGAGGCAGGCTGAGGCTGAGGCTGAGGCAAGCCGAGACAGGCTGAGGCTGAGGCTGAAGCTGAGGCAGGCTGAGGCTGAGGCTGAGGCTGAGGCTGTGGCTGAGGCTGAGGCTGAGGCTGAGGCAAGCTGCGGCTGAGGCAGGCTGAGGCTGAGGCTGATGCAGGCCGAGGCTGAGGCAGGCTGAGGCTGAGGCTGAGGCAGGCTGAGGCTGAGGCTGCGGCCGAGGCAGGCTGAGGCTGAGGCCGAGGCAAGCCGAGGCAGGCTGAGGCTGAGGCTGATGCTGAGGCAGGCTGAGGCTGAGACAGGCTGAGACTGAGGCTGAGGCAGGCCGAGGCTGAGGCAAGCTGAGGCTGAGGCCGAGGCAGGCTGAAGCTTGAGGCTGAGGCAGGCTGAGGCTGAGGCAGGCTGAGACTGAGGCTGAGGCAGGCTGAGGCTGAGGCTGAGGCTGATGCAGGCTGAGGCTGAGAGGCTGAGGCTGAGGCTGACTGCTGAGGCAGGCTGAGGCTGAGGCTGAGGCTAATGAGGCTGAGGCAGGCTGGCTGAGGCTTTCATGAGGCTGAGGCTGAGAGGCTGAGGCTGAGGCTGAGGCAGGCTGAGGCTGAGGCTGAGGCTGAGGCAGGCTGAGGCTGAGGCTGAGGCTGAGGCCGAGGCTGAGGCTGAGGCCGAGGCTGAAGCTGAGGCAGGCTGAGGCTGAGGCTGTGGCTGAGACTGAGGCAGGCTGAGACTGAGGCTGAGGCAGGCTGAGGCTGAGGCTGTGGCTGAGACTGAGGCAGGCTGCGGCTGAGGCAGGCTGAGGCTGAGGCTGATGCAGGCTGAGGCTGAGGCAGGCTGAGGCTGAGGCTGAGGCTGAGGCTGAAGCTGAGGCAGGCTGAGGCTGGCTGAGGCTGAGGCCGAGGCAGGCTGAGGCTGAGTCCGAGGCACACCGAGGCAGGCTGAGGCTGAGGCTGAGGCTGATGCTGATGCAGGCTGAGGCTCAGACAGGCTGAGGCTGAGGCTGAGGCAGGCTGAGGCTGAGGCAGGCTGAGGCTGAGGCCGAGGCCGAGGCAGGCGAATCCTCTGGAATCCTTAGGATTCCCCAGGAATCCTTGGGAATCCCTAGGATTCCCTAGGAATCAGGATTCCTAAGGTTTCCTAAGGATTCCTATGATTCCTAAGGATGCCTAAGAATTCCTTAGGAATCCCAAGGAATCCTTAGGATTCCATTGGATCCTAAGGCCGTTGCCACTGCGACTGTCATTGCGAATACGACTGTGACTGCGAGAACAGCAGAATTCTACAACTGGATTCTCACCTGAATTTTAAGGGGAATGCTTCCAGATATGCTTATACACATCGCTGTTAGGTTGCTTTGCCCGGATAATTGGGGGGGGGCAAAGATGGTGGGGGGGCCCTCATGGTGTGCGCATGGTTCCGGGTTGGCTGTTAGCCGGGTGGGGGAGGGGGGTGTTTATTTATAGGGAAAGTGGCAACCCCTTCCCCGAAGGGGAAGAGGGGCAGATGGAAGACAAAACACCTTGGATCACCTACGCCATAAAGGTCTGGTGGGATTTTGTCCGTCCAAGAGCGCGGCCAAGTTGAGCTTGGGGGCTGAGGGTGTGGTCTGGGAGTCACTCGGGTCCACCGTTTTTGCGAGCTTCTGGACGGTCTGCTTGTACAAGGTCATAGCTTCATCAACCTGTTCTGAGCAGGCTTCGGCGGCTTCTTGGGCCTCGACATTTTGTTGCTCGAGCTTCTCGCAGTGGGCCACAGCTCGACGAAGGACTCCCCCAGCCTGCTCCATATGCTGCTCGGCCTGGCCGACCGTGAGGCTATCGCGGGAGTGTTTTTTTCTGTCGTATGACGGGTTGGCTCTGGTATTTCGCTGCGGTTTCCTGGTCGCCTGACTCGTGGAGAAAATTCGACGAGATCCATGGGCCGTATTTGTCAGGCTGGACCCCGTCAGGGCGAGGCCAGGGACCTGATCCCGGGCTGAAGCTTCGTGTGTCTGTCCTTGGGCGCCCCCCCATCCTCGTAGGTGACGCTCGGGGCCCGTCGTAGGATGCCGCCCCCGCCGCTGGTGCTTTCACCACGTCTTTGATCCCATTCACCAGGCCCGGGAGAGCGCCCAGGCCCACGAGGGGGACGACTTGGCCCACGACGCTCTGGAGCAGGGAGCGGGGCCTTGCAATTCTTGCGCCACTTCCACCACGGGCGTTTGCGCCCACAGGCACACTCGAGGCAGTTGACGAAGGAGTCCCCCTCCCGCCACACTGGCCCGCGACCTATCGCAAGCGACGTGGAGATGGGGAAGGCTGCGGGGTGGGCGCCGTCCTGCTGGGCGGTGCCAGCGTGTGGTAGGAAGGGGGCCAGGAAGCCTACACGGTGCGTTGGGCGGGCCGCCTCCGGCTGGCTCCTTGGTCGCGGACAACTACGAAGCCGCAGGGCGATGGCTTAATACTTTTTCATACTGGAGCCAAGATGACTACGGCTCCTCCTCCTCGTCCTTCTCCTACTCCTCCTCCTCCTCCTCCTCCTCCTCCTCCTCCTCCTCCTCCTCCTCCTCGTCCCCCTCCTCCTCCTCCTCTTCCTCCTCATCCTCATCCTCATCTCATCCTCATCCTTCTCCTCCATACCCTCCTCCTCCTCCTCCGCCTCCTCCTCCTCTTTCTCCTCCTCCTCCTCCTCCTCCTCCTCCTCCTCCTCCTCCTCCTCCGCCCCCCCCTTCTCATCCTCCTTCTCCTCCTCCTGGCAGGTGTGTAGATGAGGCAAGATGTCGGTACGAAGCACGGTCTTACACCCCAAACAACAAAAAACAAAAAGGGCAGACGAGCTCGATGGAACTCCGCCCTGTCCGATTCTACCGGCACAGGTGGCCGGAGGCTGAGCGTGCAAGTACGAGCGACTGGAGGGTAGCCGAAATTTCTTTGAGCAGCGCCAGCTGCACGCAGAAGGCGACGAGGATCGTGGAGACAAGGGCGTAAATGTAGAACACCACGCCACGAAGTCCTGTCCCGTTCGACTGACGCCGAACGACCACTGTCCGAGAGTAAGGCCGACTGCACGCAAACGGCGTCGAGGAGCGAGGAGAAGAGGACGTAAAAGTGGAAGAACACGCCTCCCCGGAAGCCATGCCCCGTTGAGGCGGGCAGAATACTCCAACCAACGGACGCCGAACGGTCAATGTCCGAGAGGGGCGCCGGATGGCGCCCCGGATGAAGAACGCGAAATTGAGGAAGATCACGCCTTGTCTCAAGTCTTGCCCAAGCCGGCCGGGGAAGGTGAATCCTGCGGACGCCGGCCTTCCCAGGGCACCTCGTGAAAGGCGGTGTTTGCGCCCCGCCGGCGGAGCCAGGATGGTCCCTAGAGAAAGCCACGCCGCTCTGGACATCCGTCGGGCCAGGAAGAAATGAGGTAGAGTCCAGCCCAGGGCCGGCTGCTGTCCGTGCGGTCATTGCCGCTGCCATCTCGAAATGGCCCGAGTCTGGCAGGCATACTTTGTGAAAACCTGCAGGTATGCGTTGCTCGTGTAGAACTACTGTCGAATTCATGCGGTGCTCCCAGCTGGGAGCAGGATATAATTTACAAAGACAACCTCTAGCGCTTCAATGCCGAAGCATCGAAGCCCAACCACACGGCGAGTACGCGTTGTCATGGTGGTCCTTCTCCTGCTCGTCTCCTCCTCCTCCTTCTCCTCCTTCTCCTCCTTGCGCTCTCCTCCTCTTCCTCCTCCTCGTCTCCTCCTCCTTCTCCTCCTCCTTCTCCTTGCGCTCTCCTCCTCTTCCTCCTCCGTGTCTCCTCCTCCTCTTCCTCCTCCTCTTCCTCCTCCTCCTCGCACTCGCCTTCTCCTCCTCCACCTCCTCGCGCTCTCCTTATCCTCCTCCTTCTCCTCCTCCGCCGCCTTCTCCTTCTCCTGCTTCTCCTCCTCCTCCTCGCGCCTCCTCCCTCTTCCTCCTCCTTCTTCTCCTCCTTTTCCTCCTCCTCCTCCTCCTTCTCCTCGCAAGCTCCTCCTCCTCCTCCTCCTCTTCCTCCTCATCGTCCTCCTCCTTTTTCCTCTTTCTCCTCCTCCTCCTCCTCCTCCTCCTCCCCCCCCCTCCTCTTTCGCCTCCTCCTTTTCCTCCTCCTCCTCCTCCTCCTTCTCCTCCTCCTCCTCCTCCTCCTCTTCCTCCTGCTCCTCCTCTTTCTCTTTCTCCTCTGCCTCCTCCTCCTCCTCCCGTTCTCCTGCCTCCTCCTCCTCCTCCTCCCTCCTCTCCTCCTCCTCCTCCTCCTCCTTTCCTCCTCATCATCGTTTTTCCTCCTCCTCCTCCTCCTCTTCTCCTGCCCCTCCTTCTCCTCCTCCTCTCTTTTCTCCTCCTTCTCCTCCTCCCCCTTCTCCTCCTCCTCCTCCTCTTTTTCTTTCTCCTGCTCCTCTTCTTCTGCCCCTCCTCCTCCTCCTTCTCCTGGTCGCCTCCTCCTCCTCCTCCTCTTCCTCCTTCTCCTCCTCACCATTCTCCTCCTCTTTTTCTTTTCCCTCCTCCTTCTCCTCGTCTTGTCTTCCTTCTTCTCCTCCTTCCCTACCTCCTCCTCCTCCTCGTCTTCTCCTCCCCTTCCTCCTCCTCCTCCTCCTCCTCCTCCTCCTCCTCCTCCTCCTCCTCCTGGTTTTCTCCTCCCTCTCCTCCCCCCCTTGGTCTTCTCCCCCCCCCACCCACCCCGCGCAGCCCGAGGCAGCCGGCCGAGAATCTGGCCGCGCTGCGGGACGACATCACCGCGGCCATCCAGCAGACCGTGTCGGAGATGCAGGCCATCGGGTCGCAGCTCGAGAGGGCCTGCAGGGAGGAGATCGAGCGCGGCGCCGACGAGACGCGTGGGGAGCTCCAGAAGCTGAGGCCCGAGGGGGAGACGGCAAGAGAGAGAGAGAGAGGGACGGATCGGCCATGTATACTCAGGCGATCGCAAACATGTATCAACGGGGCGTGGATTAGGGACGGGTCTTGTTTCCAGGAAATTGCGGATTTCCGCCGCCGAGCGAGGCGGCACCGGCTGCATTTTGGGGGAGGGCACCTCCCCCGATCCGTGGATTTGGCGACTGCATGCCAAATCCATTGATCGCTAATCCATGTTTGCGCGCCCCCGATATACGTGTGGTGTTCACACACGTACGTATTCGTATGCACGTTGTTGTTGGCAGTCTATATGCGTACGTTCACACACATATGCACATAGAGAGAGGGAAGTGATGGGGGAAGACAGACACAGAGGATGAGGAACCGCGTGAACAAGACAGAAGGAGAAGAACGATGAGGTGCCAGATCAGAGAATACCCACGATGCATCAGCGATGCTGCAATACATCCTCCCGTCCCAAGCCCCGTCCTCAGAAGCCTTCCCATTTCAAGAATGAACACCCTTGAAGACCAGCGTTCCATGGGTTTGCCGTTCACGCGAGAACACCGTTTCAAACATAAACCAAATGTCTTTCATCTTTTCAGCGAATATCAAGGAATCTGTGTAGGTATGGACCATACCTGGTGTTGCATTGTATGGTCATACCGTATGGTCATACAGTGCAACGAGTTGTCCAGTGAGACCCCTGCTATGCAAGAACGCCGCCCTCATCCGTGCAACCCGTGTACATGTTTCCATGTCTTGCCATGCTCGCCTGGTAAGTCTCGAGCGAGAGCTCCACTTGAAAAGGAGCCGCCCTTCATCCGTTCAGACGTGTCATATCATGGCGCCAACATTGCAGAGCAGATTTCGTTCGGAAAACAATGGGATGGGCCCAGATTGTCCTGGATAATTTCGTTCCAAATTTCTAAGTGAATTTCGTGCGGAGGTTTTAGCACGGAGTGAAGACGACAACACACATCCACCTGAAAGTAACCTCGTTTTTCGCACGCCGCCTCGGGGTCTTGCATTTACAGACATCCACGTAAAGATCCGCTGCAGCAAGTCTGCAAGGTCGGTGCAGCGATCGTATGCTCAAGTTCTTGTTGTGAGGCAATCTCAAGCGAAAGCCCAATTTTGAAAGGAGCCGCCGCGCATTCGTGCAGCTGTTGCTTTACAAAAAAAAAAACGTGCAGCTGTTGCATGTGCTCGAGTCTCGGACCTGTCAACTCAGGTGGGTCTCCAGCGACGGCCCCCCCACCCTGAAGAGCAACCGCCCGCCGTCTTTGTAGTCGCTGCGAGCTTTTCAGAAGAATGCGCGCCGCGCTGAGGCGAGAGCCCCATTCTGACAAAGAGCCGCCCTCCATCCTTGAAGCTGCTGCAAACTTGTGAAGCGAATGTGCGCGGCGTTGAAATGAGAGCTTCAATGTTTACACGACCCCCTCCATCTTTGAGCACATGTCCAACTTCAGGACCACAAGCGGTGAGGAAGCTGAGGGGAAACGCCCAGCCAGCCCTGCCAACAAGGGAAAAGGGTAAAGTGGAGAGAAAAATGATGAGGAGAAGGAGGAAGAGAGGGGAGCAGTGAGGAGGAGGTGGAGGCGCCTGCCTGGGTTATCGAATTATTGGGCCATGCGGCAACCACCAGCACCACTGTGTGCCCTTTGTGTTGCACGGATCGGCATGCGTTTGCAATGCGTCGTCTTCGGTGCAGTAGGAGAGCGTTTTTTTCCCCGGGGGATCACGGCTGTACAGGGGGGGGAGGGGGGGGGAAAGGGCGGGGGCTGGTAACGTCACGTTTCGCGCCGGCAACGTATGGGAGCGCCTTGGGAGTCACCACAAACAGCTCGGTTGTCGGCACGAGTCGTGACGTTACCCGGGGGGGGGCGGCCGGGGCTGGCAACGGCCGTTATCGCGAAACATCAGCGCTCTCAAGCGATTGCGTTGGACGAGCCGTGAAGAGAAGTGACAGTTGTCCAACTGGTGAGAGCGGCCGGCAGCACAGAGGCTCTGAAAAAGACCCTCCAGAACAGACTGGGTGGATGAGGAAGTGGTAAGTTGCAGGATGGGGGGCCTTTAGTTCCCTCTCCCTTCCTCCTCTCCTCCCTCGGTCTCCTCTCTCTGCTTCCTCTCCTCTTCCTCGGCCACGTTCGCAGGTTCACCCATTTTGAATGGCCGGGCTGCTTCTCTGCATCTCTGGCGTTTTTCGATTGCACGGGGCATTTGAATTAGCTCTGAGGTGTACCGCATGCTTCTCTGAGCTGTTCGTGTGGAGGTGTCTGCTTTAGGAGAGGAAAAAAAGGCAATAGCGGGGGGGGCTTGCGACGAAGGAGGGCGCGGGCGTGAGGCAAGAATTCCAGCAGCTCCTCGGCAGCGGCGAGAACTCTCAGATTAGGAGCTCCGCCAGGATGGGCAGGCCCTCCGCGATGGCCGGCATGATGGGCAACCTCTCGTCCGCCATCTCTGGGAGGCCACGCGGTAGTGCGAACATCGGCTCATGATTGTTGAAGGATTTCGGCCATTGCCGCCGACCCGCTTGCCCCGGGCATCCACTGGTCCTGGTCGCGGTTGTCGTCATTCTCTTGCTCCTTCTGTTCCTTCTCTTGGGGGCTCGCGGGACCATGTGTGGCAATTTTCGGGGCCGCCCGAGGGGCCTCCCCTCTTTCATTTAGCCCTCTCTGACCTTTTGGGTTCCTTAGGGTCTATCTTGAGCGCTCATGACCATGTCTACGTATTTTTTGGAGGTATGGGTTCCTGTTGTAGATATAATGCACTGTGGTCTCCATCTCTCCATCTCTCCAGTGCGTCGGGGCCATGCAACCAGCAACCTCCTCCTCCTCCTCCTCCTCCTCCTCCTCCTCCTCCTCCTCCTGCCACCGTAACCATTTTGGCTCAAGGTCGTCTGCTGAACGCAACCAGGAGCCCGTCTCCTGACAGGGGCGCGGGGGCTTCGGCGTGGAAAGCGGCCCCGCAGGAATGCACACGGAGCCCCTGTTGGGAGCAGGCGGGCGCCAGTTGCCAGCGGATTGCATTGGATGTTGTCGGCGTCCCCCCAACATACTAACACTATGTGTGCGTCGCCCTCCCAGGGGCGACGCGCGCATCGAGAAATCTTATAGTATATGCGTCGTGGCGTGCGCTTTCTGGCCACACCGCTCGGGAAACGATCTACTACAATATGGTTATACGATATGTTCGGGTCGGACGCGCGCCTCCAAGGAGACAGTTTCGTATTAGTGTGTGTGTGTGTGTGTGTGTTTGCTCGTCCCATGTTGCGTCGCCTGGCCCTATTGTTGGTATCGATCTTGGGCAACGATCTTGACAAAATAGTCTACGTTTTCACCTACCAGCCAGCGTTGTGGAAACACTACGGGATTGGTGTGCCGTGGTGTCTGATTGGGGACGTCGTCTTCGCCAGGACCAGTCCGTCAGTCACAGATTGTTGGTTCTGGGGTGGTGCTTTGTTATTTATGTGAGCGAATATGTTCTGGCAGTCTTGTTGGTGCCCCTTCCCGTGACGGCGTTGAAGCCAAACCCGTGTGTTGTCAGTCATTGGTTTCTTGAGCTTTGTGGGCGGACAGGACGCGAGGGCAGCTGACAACGCAGAACACCAGGAGGGATCGCCCAGACCAGCAGACTTGCAGGTGACAGCTCCGCCCAGGACCACGACGACGAGTGCACAGACGGGAGAAGATTCGTCGTGGTATGACCCATCCTGCGGAGCACCCTGGTGGCGGTACGACCCGTGGTCGTGGGCAGCGGGGTGGTGGAGACCCGCCGCGCAGCGGAGCGCAGCCGATCCCGCGACGACGATCGAGCAGAATGAACCACGGACGTGGCAGGCTACGGGGCGGAAAGGCAACTCCTGGAGCAAGTGGCCTAGGCTACGGCGGGGCGTTGCGGAGATTCCGAATTCGAGACTTCGGGGCACCACTAGCCTGGTTTGGGTTTGACGGTGTCGAGATGCATCGGCACGATTTGGACGCACGGGCGAAAGGAGCGGGATTCAAAGTTGTGACCCAGGCTTTGCAGGCGAACTTTCGGACCGTGCTTAGCGAGCTGGACGCGAAGGATGGTGCGAGTCGGTGCTGAGCGGTGAGAGACCAGGTGATCAGGAACGCGCGGCACACAATGAACTGTTGTTCGATGACATGCAACACAAAAGCTAGACCCGGACCGACTTCGTCCTAAAAGCGGTTTCAAAGGTCCACGAAGTTGAGCGCCATTCTCTTGTGTTGCCTGACAGCGTGAAGGCCAGGTACCTGGAAGAAGGAGCGTGCCTAGTGGCTCAGAATCGGATCAGTATGACGACGCTAGCAGGCGGCAAAAATTTCAGTTCTTCGATGCGGGCAGCTCTTCTGAAATAGATGTACAAGACAAGCCGAACCCCCCGACCAGTCACGCCCAAGTGAAGAGCCACGCAGCTGATGCAGCGGAAGATCCGCCAGACTCGGACGACGCGGCCTGCGTGTTCAGTGGAGTGGGCAACCTCATGGCGACGCTGGGTGAGCAGGACCTAGGCGAGACCAGGCCCCCTCGGTTTCTCACCGCAGTTGTCGAAGACCGCCTCGGGAAAGACCAGCGTCGAACATGGCAAGCGGCGCGCGCATGAAAGCGCTTAAAAAATATTGACTTCTTTGATCGCAGGCGCGCCTCGAAGCTGAGTTTCAAGAGATAGGCGATGAGCGACGCCAAGAGCCGGGCGAAGTGCGCCCAGCGTGGCGATCGGGGGCATTGGGCCGAGACGCGGAAGAACCCTTACCGCCCCAAAGCCGACAGGTTGGCCAACGAGAAGGGAGGTGGCGGCCACGACCGGAATGGCGACTCGCCGAGCTTCTTCCTGGACGCGGTCGAGGACGACGATGACTCCTCGGGGGTCGCCGCGCGGGACTGGAAAGCCATCCTGAAGACGCTCTCCGTGAACGGCAAGTCGGGGCTCTCCCTGGGGCGCGCGGGCGACCGCGGCCTCGCGGGCGCGGGGGCCGCGCAGGCGTCGGTCGGCGAGGAGGACTTGGCGGCGATGATCGACGCCGTCAGGGACGAGGCTTCCGCGTCCAGGCGCAGCGAGGCGCGGCCCGCGCGAATCCGGGAACTTAGAGATCGACGCGGAGATGCCAGAGCGCATTCTTCTGGGCGTGCGCCAGCACTGCCGGGGGGGTCTGGGCAGTGAACCAGCCCGCTGATCAGCGCGACCTTTCTCGCTCCTGGATGCGCGACGCGGCGTCCGGCGGGCCCCTGGGCCATCGCGGGTCAGCGGGGCCGTCTACGGGGGTCGTGCTCCGCAGCCGCCGCGGCCCAGTCTCGGGGCGCGGAGTTGCCGCGCGAGGCGGGCGGCGCCGGCGAAAATTGCCAGGGGCGCGCTCCAGTGGCGGGCGGCGCAGGTGAGGCGCGGGAAGCTGGCCTCGCTGTTGGCGTCGGTCGCCGAGAGCGACGATAAGCTCATGGAGTGGGCGGAGCTTTCGGCGGAGCTGAGGGATCTGGACTTCGCGGCGGAGGAGATGAGCGAGCAGGGGAAGGCCGACTTCTTCGCGGGAGGTCAGGCGGTGATCACGCCGATTCAGTTTCGATTGCGTCGGCTGGCACTGCGCTTGCTGCGCGTGCCGCGCGGCTGCCTTGCAATTCAGGTCGCGATCATGCGACCGGGGGCGGGGGGCGGGGTACTGGCGGAGAGCTGCTCGCGCCCGCCGCGGGCGGTTGAGGCCGCGCAGGTGGTCGACGACCATGCAAAGGGCGGCCCGTGGATGGCAGAGCCGGCGCCGTTCGACCCTCCAGCTCCGAATGCGCCGGGCGCCCGCTCCATGGCGAAGCCGGCAGCCCCGGGGTCGAGTTCCAGGGGGTCGGAGGTGAGCTCGCAGGCGGCGCGGGGCCTGGCGCGAAGGAGGATGGGCATCCTCGGGCCTTCGCATCGAGGGGGCGCCTGACGGCCGCGACGAGTGCACCTTCGATCCCAAGCTGGGCGCTGGTTCAGCCAGCTCTCAGCGATCGCCGGGCACAGGCGGCGCAGATGAAGGCGCTGCTGGGCCAGGCGCACGCGCTGGCCGAGCAGCTTCACATGGCCGGGCGCGAGGCGCTGCAGCAGCGGGCGGCGCGCCCAAGCAGGTTGGGGAGCGTGAGCGACGAGGACATCGCGAGGTTG